ACTACTCTCCTGCCCCTGTAGGGTAAGAGGTCTTGCTCGTCCATGGTTAGGAGTGCCATTAATAGTTCTTTCCTCCTAAGGCAAAACCAACAATGGCTGGGAGCAGAGCCATGTTATTTCCAGAAAAAGTACTTATAAAGTCTCTGGGCTAGAGGGCTCAGAATGAACTCACGCATATAGTTCACAGACTCATTTATGGGAAGAAGTCAAAGCAGCCGGAGAAGACTGATGTATACCCAAAAGAATGCTTTCTGGGTCATAGCCCAACTTCTTGCGGCAGCCAATTAGAGTATGTATTTACTTTCTGACTGCTGGGTTCTTCTAAATATTATCAACCTCTGCGCAGAAGTTCACCTACAACAGAAAACTCGACCGGCAGAGCACAGTCCGGAACACATTCTCTTCATCAGACATATTTGGTCCAAATTAAGGTTTGCATAAAGCCCAGTGACTCACCATCCATAAAGTAGACACAGTCACCACGATTTAGATTTGTTACTAGAAGTGGAAAGTTATAGATATTAAGTGTCTTGAATTTTTTTTTTTTTGCAGTGAAAACTTGATTATCAAATTTAATCTGTGAGGGCTGGAGAGATGGCTCAGAGGTTGAGAGCACTGACTGCTCTTCCAGAGGGTCCTGAGTTCAATTCCCAGCAACCACACGGTGGCCCACAACCATCTCTAATAGGATCTGGCACCCTCTTCTGGTGTACAGGCATATATGCAGGCAGAACACTGTACACAATAAACAAATAAATCTTAAAAAAAAAAATGAATCTGTGAGAATATGTTGAGAGTTGTCAGGAAGAAATATCTAGATCAATGTGTTTGCCAGTTACAATCCTAACCTGTGTCCTATATCAAAGACACGGGTTAGAATCTTCCATTTTTCCCACTGAACACTTTACTTAAGGATTCCTGACTATAAACAACTAAGCTATAGAAAATATCTTAAGCCCTCGGGAACTGTAATTCCTTTTGATAACTCAGAATGTAGATGTCGTAGTATTGGTACAATCTGCTGTGGTTTGAAACAAACCATCCTCCATCCACAATAAGTTTGTGTGTTTGAACAATTGGTCTTCAGCTGACAGTGTCTTTGGCTATGGACCTTTAGGAGGTGAAGCCTTGCTGGAGGCAATACCGGCCAAATACACCTTTCTACCTTACATTGCTTTTGGTTGGGGCATTCTGTCACAGCAACAGAAACGTAACTAAGACACAGGTCTTAAAGGCTACACGAAGAAATGCAGTAAAATATAACCACCTATGCACTCTGTCATCTACACCTATCTGTGATTTTTAATATACTCTTTCCTGTTGCCTTCTACACTCTGTTAGGACCCCCGGAGACAGGGCAAGACACTGTAGGAATATGCTTGATATATAGTTGGATTAAATAACAACCTAATATATCAAACATATCACACAGAGGCCTGCAGAAAAGGCATCCAGATTTGACTGAGCTTGAGAATAGTTACAGCATTGAAGGCTGCGGCTGCAGGAGTCAGTCACCTCTGAGTATCTCCCAGCCTGCCTTGGAGCACAGGCGTGTCTGTAGGTGTCGAAAGGGTGCCATTAGCAACAATACTGGCACACGCTCTGAGCCTGGGGCCCTTTCCCCAAATGAAAGGGGAGTCTGTGCATCTGTCTATTACTCATGTCTGAGAGATTACAGGTAAAGGGTCAGGGCCCAAGGGTGGAACTATACCAGAACCATCTTCAGATGCCACGACTAGCCTCCTTTTAAAACAGGCAACCTGAGAACTAGGTAGTCAAAGCAGCTGGAAGCCATCACCCTCCCTCCCCAAACTAGTCCAGCACAGCCTCTGCCAGATGGAGAGTGTCCTCATCCGTGTGTGGGTGGGGGTGGGGTGGCCACAGTTACAATGCAGGAATGCAGAAGCAGCTGCCATTTGTGGCCCCCTGAGGGCTTTTGTCTTTAAATTTATAGGAGAGGATGGAGAAAAGTAACCTCAAAATATTGGTTGTTTTTGTTGTTTCAGTCTTTTTTTTTTTTTAAAAAGCTGAGGAAAAGTTCTTTTGTAACGGTGAGGAGGATCTTATACACCGTGGAAGAAGTTTCCCACAGTGGATGGCCCTCCTTGCAAACCAAAAATTGGATGCTTTAGGATGATAAGATTCTTTGAGACACTTTCATGGGTAATGCCTAATCGAGTAAGCATAAGGGGTCCTCACAGGCCTCCTCAGGCAACCATCCTTCCTTTTCACTGTGTGTGGTTTTCAAACATTGTTTTCCAGAACTGTAAAACACAGAACCTGCCATTCCCCATCCCATTTCAAGTCTTAGCCACTCTCTGCCGACCTCCTTTCCTTCCAAGCTTTGTTACACGTAGCTGTAACCACGGACGCCCACGAGTTATCATGTCTCCCCCGTTAACTCACCCCATGGGCATCTTCATGCTGTGCAATCCAGCAACCACTGCTCTTCATCACTGAAACAGTCTAATCATTTCCCTTCAGGAAGACCCAACCTCTTACTGTTACCAACAAGGCTTCTAGGAATATCCCTCTCACACAGATTTGGAATTTTTTTCCTCAGGAAAGGAACTGCAATGGTCCTGAAGGACTAGAACCATTTTCTCTGCCAACGGGGATGGTGAAGGAGTGCAACGTTCAGAAACTACACCCCAGCAATATGCTCCCTCCTCACTCAGTCACGTGGTCTAACTGTGGTGAGGACCAGATAAAATAGTTAGGAGACAGGTCAGGACCGTGCCTTGTATTTACTGTAGCCCCATTGTCCACTCCTGGCCCCCGGGGGCTCTTGGATCAGCTGATACTGTCAAGAGTTTAAGATCTGAGAGTCGGTCAGGGACAGCTGCATTTTCAGGGTTAGGTTTTTGTCTCTGCTTTGCAAATCAAGTTAATGGAACTTGAGAAGTGGACTTTAAAGCCGAGTCTTAAAAGGGTAGTCTTCCTACCCCACTAGAGGTCTATGAAAGACCTTATCTTTCACACATGTTCCAAAGAAGAAAGATGAAGGTATGAGAAAGCATATGTCTGGTCACAGTGACGGTGACAGAGGTGATGGTGTTACCATTTACTAGTGAGGCACTGGGTTCTTACGTCATTGACTTATGGTTTAACAACAATCCTGCAGGATGAAGGAGATCCCAGGAAGTCTGTTTTCCAAATAAAGAATGTTGAGGCAAATGAACAACCAGACAGAGAAAAACAGACAAGAGCTCAGGAAGACCCTAGAGAAGGATGGGGTGGGGGTGGGGGTGGGTGCTGGGAAGCAGTGGAGTGTGGGTGTGGCGTGAGCAGCAGACCCATTTACAGAATGCAGGTGCCATCTGACCAATATACAGAGCCGTCCCCTGTGGAAGGGCCTCTTGGGAGAGAGCAGACCAGCAGAATCACACAAATTAAGCTGCAGACCTCCCAACCTGAGTTTTAAGACTCGGCTTTAAAGTCCACTTCTCAAGTTCCATTAACTTGATTTGCAAAGCAGAGACAAAAACCTAACCCCGAAAATGCAGCTGTCCCTGACTGACTCTCAGATCTTAAATTCTTGACAGTATCAGCTGATCCAAGAGCCCCCAGGGGCCAGGAGTGAAACCTCAGCAAACAAAAGTCAGAGGTCAAAAATCTCAAATTACGCCTTGATGAGGAAAATTTGAAAACTGTCTAGGCCAGTGCTTAGGAGGTAGGTCTGAAGCCCTGAAGGCTTTAAGAAATCTCCAGCCTTAACGGATTCATTGGCCTCCTGTCGACTGCTTGCATCTCCTCCTGAACACTGCTTTGACACAGGTGTAACCCAAAAACAAAAACAAAAAAGCAAAACTAGGGTCAGCTTTTTTTGTTGGTGGGGGATGCAAATAGCCAGCTTTCATTTCCTTATGTATTTGGGTCTCTGGGAAGTGAACTATAGATACCCAGAAAGACTGCATAGATATGAAAATGAAGACCCCTCCCCCTGTCACCTTCCTTAAGATGGCTGAAGGTTGGGATGGGAACTGCACTGCTTACTAAAGCCCGACCCCGGAGACTGGCCAGCTCCCGCTGCCCCATAGAAAACAATCTCTTCCCTTGGCCACTTCTCTTACGAAAAATACTCTAGCCAGCCACGGCCTCCCGGACGCGCTGAAACAGCCTAGAGCTGGGTTTGTCTCTGAGATGTGTGTTATCCTCTATTTTTGTGTATGCACGCACATGTGGAAGCCAGAGGTCCTTGCCGAGTACTTCCCTCAATTGCTTCTCTACTGTGGTCCAATATATAGACACTACTTAGATTTATTTTTAACTATGTCTCTCTCTCTCTCTCTCTCTCTCTCTCTCTCTGTGTGTGTGTGTGTGTGTGTGTGTAGAGTATCCATGGACTCAGAGAAGAAGTGGGATTCCTTGAAGACGGCATTACAGATGGTTGTGAACCAGCTCTTGCGGGTGCTAGGAATTGAACTTGGGACCTCTGGAATGGCAAAAGCAAGTGTCTTAACTGAGCCATCTTTCTACCTACTCCAAGCACCATATTGGTTTATTTTGTGATTTCCTCATTGCTGGGATTACAGGTGCACACCACCACATGTGCTTTTTATGTGGGTGCTGGGAAATCCACACTGGGGTCTTCATGTTTTCCCCGGTTAGCACTTTACTGACTGAGCCATGCTGTGGTTTCTAAGAAAACAAGATACTCAGTATTGTTGTTTCTGTAACAAAGGTGCAATAGAAACCGGTGAACTGAAGGCTGTCAGTCTCCTAGCTACTAACAGGAACTTTTGACAGAAACATGCACAACCTGCTTTACATGGTGAAATTACATGTGGATGTTCTGTCTCTCCTCAGAATAACCAGATGTACTTTTCTTGGCAGTTAACTTGACCCCCTTGCTTTCTCTTTCCCCCCACACTCAGTAAAATGGTGCTGGGCAGGCAGAATGGGTGCTGCTTCCTCTCTGTACCATGCTTAGCTCCACGGCACAGTCACCCACCGGAAGACAGACGCAGGGAGACAAGCAGCCACCGGTGGAACCTCACCTTTGGCTTCGCTCTTGGCTTCAGCTGCTCTAACTTCTTGGCAGCGGCTTCAATGGAAGCTGCAGCTCCCAGTAACTCGGTTTCTGCAATGACGGTGGGGTCTTCTGGGTCCACCCACTCTGTTCCTAAAATCAGTCCCAAGAGAGTCATTCATGGTAGGTGCAGACGTGAGGGTACTGGCGTAATCACAACACAATCTAAACAGTCACTGTGGATGGCCCTAGGAGCCTATTCTATCGCCCTATCTGGTTCTCCACCACCTGGATAGAGGGATGGGGTACTAACTATTTTTCTAAACCAGCTACATGTGTACAGCCCTACCCATAACCAGCAACAGGAGCTTCCAAATTCCATGGGTCGAGGCTTGAGTCTCACTCTGTCTTTTGATTTACACTTATGAGTACGTGGGTATCCCTAGGAAACTCTAGGCCACAGAGCTTTGACATTTTCTTCAGGGAATATGTGGCAGAGAGAGAAAGAGGAGCGGGGAGATTGAGATTCCCTTGGTGAATAAACTGCATCTGTGTAAGCAAGTAAGGATGTGCAAGTGGTATACCCAGTGCCATTCCCTATGCATAAGAATATTGTTATTACCATCACCAATTACTTCATAAAGTACTCGCTTTATGTCTATGGGTGTTCTGCTTGCACGTATGTTTGTGTACAATATGCATGACTGATGCCTGTAGAGGCTAGAAGACTACACTGGATCTCACGGAACTAGAGTTACAGATGGTGCAGTGAGCTGTCACATGGGTGCTGAGACTCAAACCCGGGTTATCTGCAAGAGCAGCAAGTGCTCTTACCTCTGAGACGTCACTCCAGCCCCTAATTACCTTTTGGGGGTATGACTAGAGATTGAAACTAGGGCCTACCATGTGCTAGGCAAGCATTTTCCTACCTACATTCCTAGTTCCCCTCTCCTCCCTTTGTTTTTGAGTTAGGTACCCAATGTGGCCTTCCAATTTGCTCTGTAGCCCACTCAGGCCGCAGGCTTGCAATAGTCTTGCCGGAGGCTGTGAGCATCTGGGAGGACAGGCCTGTGGTCTTGAGGGCTGGCTCAGGAGCTTATTGTCCAAAAGACAATAATTAACAGTAGCTTGGTGAATGCTAACACAGCTACAGGTGAGACTCCTGAGAGAAGTGGAGAGTTTTGATGGATTATTCCACTCAGGTAGAGGCACTCAATACAAAAACCAGGGAAAAATCATGGTACTTTAAACCTTTAAAAAAAAAATCTGTGCCTTCTATTCCTACTATATTCCTGCACGCTCCTGGCTGGCTCCTGAGCTAGCACAGTGTTACAGGAGGACATGAGGCCCTGACCTACCTTTCATGGTTTCCGCTGCCTGGATGAGCTCGGTCACAGCGCCAGCAACTCTCTTGGAGAAAGCCGCCAGCTGATGCTTCAGTTCTGGGGTCGGCTTCTGAAGGATCTGTGGGTGGAAATGTGTCAGGTGCATGAGGAGGGAGTGCTGTTTGAGGGATACCCTCCTATTCGGGGGAAGGGACATCTATGTGGGGGACTTCAAGCTCGAGAGACAACAGACTCACCAGAGTTGGGAATCAGGGGTCCCTTTGACACAGTTAGCAATGGTCAGAAGGCTGAGGCCTACCTGGCCTTTAGTTCTTTTGTTTTTAGGTAAATTAAATACACAAATGTGAAAATTGCGTGAAAGAACACTGTGTGTGAAGTCTCAGGCTATAAGGATCACCTTGGACTTGGGACAAAGCAAACATGGAACCAGAGAAAACTGGGATGGAGGCAGGGCTGCAGGCAAGATCCCCACATGAGTAACAGCTAACCATCTAGAAAAGTCATTCCAGAGCTGACAAGCCGGTTCTAAGATTCTGGCCACAATCTGTCCTGCAAGACATTGTCTCCATATGCTCTCCTGTGATCTAGTTCAAAGTTAAAAAACAGAACAAACAAAACCCTTATTTTATTAATTTACTTTTTTGAGACAGGGCATCTCTATGTAGCCTATGAAGATATTGCAGGCTTTGAATGCATAAAGATCCACCTGTCTCTGTCTCCCAAGTGCTTGGATTATGGGGGTATCCCACCATACCTGGCCTCAATGATTGTGTACATGCGCTCGAGTATACACACACGCAGGGATTGAACCCAGGTTGTCAGGCTTGGTGACAAGCACCTTTATCTGCTGTGCCCTCTCACCAACCCCAACAGTGTCAAGATTTTTTTTTTTTAAAAAAGTGGGTATTTTAAAAAGGTACCAGAACTGCCAGCCAGCAATGCAATGTGAAATCAGATGGTCATTCCTTCAAAACTGGAACTAAGAAATCAGGCATGGACTCCTTAGCATCTTCCCTTAAGGGCTTAGATGTAGAGGAAGAGTATTATCCCAGCCCTTCCTCATCTTGAAATTCTCTTCTAACACAGTTTTCTGGTTTTCTTGCCCATGTTCCACCATGGGGAACCTCCAGACACTTTAAGATGGTTAGGAGATCTGTGGACATCATGGAGCCTCAGAGTTGAGGCACAAGCATGGACTTTGGGGTGCACAGGCCTGTGTGTTGACAGCTGGCCTCACCGGTTTGCTGGTGTGACTAGCACAACTATCAGAACCTTGTTTTTCCCCCGTGAAGCTGGGATAACACTTGGGATGAAGTCTCTGAGGACTGACACACAGACAGAATGGAAAATACACAAGAATCATTTCACCCAAGGCCCAGAATGCAACAGGCATTCATTTAAGGTCAATTCTGTTCTTGGTGTCCTACACCCTTTAGAAAAATATGGTCAGGTAACATGATTTTTCTCAGAAGTATAGAAAAGATGGTTGCTGGGCCTTAGGCCTAACTTCTTTGACTACGTTCCTAAAGGGAATGCAGTTAAGACTGGGTTGGAGGAGGTAGTGAGTTACAACATGACCAGGCCCAAACATGCCAGTGTAGAGACACTACAGATTTAAATCGACGAGCCAGCCTTTTTGAGTATTATTTCGTATACATCTCTTTCCATCTTCCTTTCTCTCTCTAATAACTAAACTTTTTTCTTTTATTTTTAAGTTATGTGTATGTCAGTGTGTGTGTGTGTGTGTGTGTGTGTGTGTGTGTGTGTGTGTGTGTGTAATGTGCACGTACCAACAGAGACCAGAAGATGGTGCCAGATGTCCTGAAACTGGAGTTACAGGCAGCTGTGAGCCGCCCAGTGTGGATGCTGGGAACTGAATTCAGGTTCTCTGCAAGAGCAG